GCAGCAGCAGCAGCAGCAGCAGCAGCAGCAGAGAGACAGGCTGAGCGCGGTTAGGCCGCCCGAGTCCTCACTAACCCAAACCAAGTCCTCCGTCGCCAGGCGGAGCCCTCTCTCTGCGGCGGGCCTACGCCTCGCGCATGCGCAGTGTGTTCCGGGTGCGCCGCGGTTCCGCGACTCGCGCGTCAGAAAACCCGGTGGCCGGCGGGCGGGGAACCTCCGCTCTAAAGAGCCGGCCTGCGGGGTGCTTCCTTCCGTAGTAGCGCAGGGGAACCTCCTACAGCACTCGTCCAGGCTCGACCCCGAGGGCAGGCACCCAACCCGCCCCTTGGTCCGCGGCCCTGCCTCGCCCCTCGGGAGCCAACAATCCCGGGCAGCCGGTCTCCACCCGCCTAACCCCTTCCTCCACCCGTTTGCTCGAGTAGCCGCGCCCCACTTCACCATCTCTGGCCTAATTGTCCCCATGTTCAGCCTTGCAGGAAAATTCCAAGTCTTTTAAGTAAATCCTCCTCTCTGCCAGAGACGGAGCTCAATTTCTGCCCCACCCACCCCCGCCTTGATTGTGTGCTGTGCTTGGTGACTTGCTTCCAAAGAGTACACTTACAGCGTGGAAAGTGGGGGGAATAACCACAGTGGAGAAGCCTGGCAAGCACTGCCTTGGCCAGGTGACGACGAGTTATGTTGATAGCGTGCCTGGGATGTAGGCGGGGTACCTCACCTCTGTGGTATTCCTCCCCCAAACCCCATAACCCCGGTTCTTCCTTGACAGAAACATGAGGCAAACCCAAAAACACCTGATCAGTGCTCCTAAAAGGTGTTAACGGTCATGAAAAACGAAGTAAAATCGGAGAATCTGTCATAAACCAGAGAAAACTAAGGAGACATGACAATTAAATGTGATGTGGTAGTCTGAAGGGAATTCTGTAACAGGAACAGGATATTAGGGGAAACACTAGTAAAAGCCAAATAAAGCGTGGAGCTCCGTTAATACTACTTGTTCCAGTGTTAGTTTCTTAGTAGTGACAACTGTACCGCCATGGTAAGAGGTTAATAAGGGAAATATGATGGGAGGTACACTAGAAATACATTTGCAGCTATTCTACAACTAAATCTATTCTAAAATTAACATTATTGAAAAGGCCGAGTGGCGCGTTGGTTGACTTGGGACGCCAGCTCTGGGCATCAGGGCCCCGGTTCAGATCCCATATGAGGGCCAGTGATGCTGCACCCTCTACAGCTAAGATGGTGAACAACAGCTTGACTCAACCTGGAGCTGAGCTGCGGTGAGTTGCTGGCAACAGTGTAGGCTGCAGTGGGGCTGGCCGGCAGCTGGCATGAGCTTTTTTGAGCTGCCGTGAGCAGCTGTCCAATGGCGAGTGAGCAACTGCCTCACCCGGGAAGAGCTGATAATACCATGATAATACCAACATGGGCCAGTGAAGCCACGTCCTCCACAACTAGACTAAAGGACAGCAACTTGTCTGTTCTCCTTCCCCGATTCCCCAACGTTGTTCCCTCCCCCCAATTCCCCAATATAATCTTTAAAAAAAATAAAAAGAAAAGGAGGCTGGAACGAGACAGTTCCAGATTTGGACCTGTGATTCAGTGATGTCATCAAATATCAAAGCTCTGTCTAATTTTCCACAATACCATCATTAGGGAGTTAGCTATTCACCTTTCAGTTTGTTTCTTCATGATCTCAATATATTGGGTTGTCGGAAAAGTCATGACACATTTTTGCAACGAAAAACAGCAAAACTACGTCATGACTTTTTCGACAACCCAATAGTTGCTGCAGCTCCAGTCATCACATTCTCACACATATATATTCAAGACAGGAAGAAAAGGGACAGATGAAACAGGTATTTTCCTTTTATGAGGAAGGAAGGTACTGTATACTCCCATTTTCTAGATAAGAATTGACAAAGAAGCTCTCCTTGACCAAACGCTAGCCAGGTTCTTCCAAGTCTTCATCTCAAAGCCTCAGCCTTGGCCTATACAGTCTACAGACTCAGCACAAATGATTTCAACCACTCCACTTCCCCTCATTGAAAGACTTAAATATTAACATAGTTTCTAACAGCTCAAGGCCACATGATCCTAGCCCCCCTTAAGGAGCTCAAGTCTCTCCAAAAAATTTACTATTTGTTCTAGCCAACACTTGATGACAGCCCCTTTACTACCCTTTTTTAGAGCATTCACTACAAAGGCTTACAATGTGAGACTCCTTCCTCTGTGCATTTCAGATGTGTATGAATCTCCTACAACTCTGAAGTGTCTTTCTCAGAACCTGAAAGCCATTCCTTTGAAAAGTAATCCTCAGGAAGAATGGGGCCTCTGTGGCTTCATCTCCGTGTAGCCCACATAGCTGCCGAATCAGCATTTACACTGACTAGCCCTTTGGAATTTTTCACTTCCCTGACTCCACTCAAGCCCCTCCATTCCCCCTCCCTCATTCTCCTTTTTTTCTTTTTTTTTTTTAAGATTTTATTGGGGAACAGTGTTGGGGGGTTGGGGAAGGGGAACAGTGTTGGGGAATTGGGGAAGGGGAACAGCCAAGTTGTCGTCCTTCAGTCTTAGTTGTGAAGGGCGCAGTTAGCTCAGCTCCAAGTCCAGTCGCCATCCAGCCACCCGTCAGCAGCTCAGGGCAGCTCAGCTCAAGGTGCCACGTTCAATCTTAGTTGGGGGGGGGTGCACAGCCCCCATCCCATGCAGGAGTCGAACCGGCAACCTTGTTGTTAGGAACACGAGCTCTCACCAGCTGAGCCATGCTGCCGCGTTTTGGCAGCTCAGCAGCAGCTCAGTTCAGGCACAGCTCACTAGCCCATGTGGGAATCTAACCGGCGACCCTGTTGCTCAGCGCTCATGCTCTTAAGCAACTGGGCCACTCAGCTGGCCCTCCCTCATTCTCCTTTAAAATGCCCAGTCACGTCTGTGCAAATCCAAGTTGAGTTCAGATCATGTTGGGCCGTATTTCCTATTGTAATAATATATTACTGCTTAAAATCTGTTCCTAACTACTTTACTATCTGGCTTTATCTTTGACATAATTAAGTAAATTGTTTGGAGTTACCTAATCTACTAAGCAGCTCAGCCACAATTTGATTTCCAAACTCAAAGTCCATGCTCTATTTACTCCTGTAGGAAGGCTTATTGAACACGCCAAACAAACAAATTGTAAGAAGAAAAGCCAGTGTGAAGCAGAGCTCTGTGAGGGAAAATAATCATGGACACGGGAAGACTGAGAGCTTAATAACATACGACTTACCAATACTGTTCTTCAACATCTTTTATTTTAAAGACATCATGGAACTATACTTTAGGACAAATAAAATAACTGCTTCAAACCAGTGGGTAGTAAAGATGTGAGTTTATTCCACAAGTTAATAGATGAGATGTGATAAAATTATTTCCCCATATAGCAGCCAGGATGATCTCAGACTTGACCCTCACAACTTAAGGAGTACCTTCCATGTTAGCCATTAGCAGTAGTAATAGTTCTGGGCCCTCCACCTTTACTCTTTGGTTTTATGTCACAAATGGTTCAGAGGAGTGCTTTGTATGGGGATGGCTGAGAGGTTCAAACACACCACCAGGATCAACACCCAAATTTGACAGGAAAAAAATATACAAAATCACCCAAGTAGAGCTTAACTCACTGGCTTTAAATTAGCATGCTTTTCAAAATAAATTTTCAAAAAGTTTCCCATAGTCAAATCTGTCAGTCCTTTCCTTGTGATTCTTCCCCATTCCTAGGTTTACAAAGTCCTTTGCCCTTACTGAAAAATATAAATTTTACTTGTATTTTCTAATACTGGTTTTATGGTTTTGTTTATAAAACCGTAAGTTTAAAAAGTGAAGGCCAGCCGAGTGGTATGTTCGTTAAGAGTTGGCTTGGGGTGCCAGCTCTGAGCAGCAGGGCCGCCGGTTAGGATCCCACATTACGGCCAGTGACGCTGCGCCCTCTACAGCTAAGATGGTGAACAACTGACCTGGAGCTGGGCTGCTGTGAGTTGCCAACGATGGCGTAGGCTGCAATGGGGCTGGCCAGCAGCTGGCATGAGCTTTCATGAGCTTTTGTGAGCTGCCGTGAGCAGCCGTCCAATGGCCAGTGAGTGACTGCCTCACCCAGGAAGAGCGCAATAATAGTACCAACATGGGCCAGTGAAGCGACATCCTCCACAACTAGACTGGAGAACAAAAGGACAGCAACTTGTCTGTTCCCCTCCCCCAATTCCCCAATAACATCTTAAAAAAAATTTTTTTTAAGTGAGAAAGCACATTTTTTTCTCTCTCTTTAAAAATTAATTGGCATATGTTGTGTCTCCAAGTAGTTCACCAAAAGAGCGGTTTATTCGGGAAAAGAAAAAGAAACAAAACCACCACAGCAGTGTGTGAACGCACACCTCTGGCCAGGCCTCCAACAGGACGCACAAGTGCAAAAAGAGAGCTTTCCCAACATGACCTCTCTCTATATGAATCCCTGCCCCAGAAGTTACCACAAAGTTTAACAGCAAGTCAGGACTAGAGAGTTACCAAGGGTCCAGCTCCACCAATAGTCCTGTCAGCTCTATGGTTAGTCATCTTAAGATGACAGTTCACTTTTATCATTTGTAAGGTATCTCTTTTGTTTTTCTTTCCAATCTTTACTCCCTTTCCCCAGTACCATTTTTGGAATAATTCTTTCTTTCCCCCATTAATTGTTAATGCCACTTATATGCTAAATGCTTATTACTACATGATATTTTATATATTGTATTTTCTGGAGCATCCTACCCCATGGACGTGCCAATTCTTGTGTTGGTATTAGCACTGAAATGATAAACAAATCAGGCTGAAAAATCATGGTTCATGTCCCTCTTAGAATTTGCATTTTGCAATAGCAGGCCCCTCACCATGCCCAAAGTTCCCTGCACACCATGTTGCCCTCTTAGGGGATTTAATCCATCCTCCTTCCTTCTAACACTGGCTCACCCCAGTTATAGAAGAAAGTAACTAGTGGTGTGGAGAGAGGCCAGCAAGTGACAGACCAATTATATACTTGGATAAGGGAGAAAAATCCAAAACAAAGCTCTTAAACTACCCTGTGGGAAAAACAAAATCTTAAAAGATTACATGCTGTAAGAATCCATCTATCATTTTGAAACAGTAAAATTTTAGAACTGGAGAACAGATTAGTGGTTATCAGGAGATAGAGTTGGGGGCGGGGGACAAGAGAGACTTATGTTTGGTTATAAAATAGCAATAGGAGAGATGCTTGTCCTGATGGAAATGTTTTATTTCTTGACTATAGTGGTGGATATACAAACCTACACACGGTAAAATTGTCTAGATCCAAATACATACAAATACACACAAACGTACAAATGAAACTGAGGAAATCTGAATATGATTGGTGGATGGATTGTTTGGATGTCAATATCCTGACTGATATTGTACCATAGTTTTGCAAAACGTTACCATTTAGGAAAAATGGGTGAAATGTAGGAATCTCTGTAATATTTCTTACTACCTGATGTGAATCTACAATTATCTCAATAGAAGTCTTAGTCAAAAAAAGCAAAGGTTTTTCCCTGATTATTAGTTTTGTGTGTGTGTGTGTGTGTGTGTGTGTGTGTGTGTGTTTTGCAACTGATTGGAAACCTACCTTGCAATTGCAGCATAATTGGATTCCACCTAAAGCATGCTTTTCAACAGAACTTTCTACTGTGATGGAAATACCATATATCTGCACTGTCCAATACAGCAGCCACTAACATACGTGACTGTTGAGCACTGGAAATGTAGCTAATGCAACAAAAGGATTAAATTTTAAATTATATTATTTTGATTAAACTGACATTTAAGTGGCTAGTGTCTGCCATAAGGGACAACACAGAATTGAAATTACTGTAGTTCCCTCTTCCTCTGTTGTAAGTTCTAAATAGTAAGGAAGGAAATTCATCTCCATCATTGAACAAATTGATGAACTTTCTGAGGATCCATTTCCTCACTTTAAAATAGAGATGATAAGATGCATCCTGACAAGTTACTTTGAGTGCGAGAAAGGTTGTAAAGCCCCCTTGCACCTATACACTGGAAGACCTGGACACAGGTAACTTCACAACCTTTCTAGTGTCTAGGGATGAAACCCTGTGATAATTGACTTAATAGTCCCCACTATTATGTGAAAACCAGCCAAGGATAAGTCAGTAATTTTGCTTTCACATGCTTAGGGGAGAAATCCACATACACTTGATGTCTTGCCATGTTCTTCCCAGCTTATTCCACAAGCCCGGTTCCGACGACTTAAATTCTATCGATATTTTTTTTAAATACCAGGGGGGAAAGTCCAAAGGCCCATTTCTTCAAGTGCAACTGTGAGTGTTTGGTTAAGGCAATAAGATGAAAAACCCTTGGAGAACCAAGGATAAGTGTTCAGTTTAAATGCAGTCAAGTCGCACGACCAATCAGAATGATTCTCAGCTGACAGACAGGCAGTCGCCAGCAGGCAACAGCCTTAGCGTTTAGCAGGCCTGTTTTGCAAACCACCCGTCGCCTTTCTCAGCAACCCCCGCGCCACTGGGCGTTTCTCGGGAAGCTACGCCCTAAGGGGTGGGGCCTGCGCTTGCGCCCTCAGCCATACGGCTTCGTCCTGCGTTTGCACACCGTGCGCTCAGCAGAGGCGCGCGGAGGCTCCGAACCTTGCACAAGCGCTCCTGTGCTTCGCGGCGTTCGGCATCCACAACCCGGTCTGCTGTCGGTGCGAGTGCCCGGTGCGTTCCCCACCCAGCCATGTCGTCTTACAGCCGCGTGGCGCTTGTAACCGGGGCCAACAAGGGCATTGGCTACGCCATTGTCCGCGACCTGTGCCGGCAGTTCTCGGGGGACGTGGTGCTCGCGGCGCGGGACGCGGCGAGGGGCCAGGCGGCCGTGCAGCAGCTGCAGGCGGAGGGCCTGAACCCGCGCTTCCACCAGTTGGACATCAATGACTTGCAGAGCATCCGCGCCCTGCGCGACTTCCTTCGCAAGGAGTACGGGGGCCTGGACGTGCTGGTCAACAACGCTGGAATCGCCTTCAAGAGTAAGGAGCTTGGTGGTGGTCGGTTAGCTCAGTTGGTTAGAGCGTTGTGCTAATAACAGTAAGGTTGACGGTTTGATCCCCGTATGCGTCTCTGTGAGCTGCACCGTCCTTAAAGAAAAAAGAGTAAGGAGTTAGGTGGTCTCAGGGGAGCAGTCGCTCAGAGCACCTCCAGCCAGGGTGGGCTGGATCTGTTGGGGAATCATTGCGATGGGGCTTCTCGCACCTATGGGGTCCAGAATGCCTTCCTAGGGAAACAGAGATAGGGGACGGGGAAGGGGTGCCGCTAGATCAGAGTATAAGAGTAACTGGAGTGCTTCCTAGCCAAATGATCTTTGTTTCCTTGGCTTGGGTGCCTGGGGATCTTGACCAGGTTGTCACAGTTTCTATCAGTTTGGACTTCAGGGCACTTGGGTGAATTTTAAATGGATTTTTAAATAAACAAAATCGGGCTGGACGAGTGGCTCAGTTGGTTAAGAGCACAAGCTGAGCAACAGGATCTCCCGTTCAATTTCCACACGGGCCAGTGAGCTGCAGCAGAGCTGAGCTGCAGCTGAGGTGCCAACATGTGGCAGGATGGCTCAGTGGTTAGAGGGTGTGCTCTTAGCAACAAGGTTTCGGTTGGACTCCCGCATGGGATGGTGGGCTACACCCACCCGCAACTAAGATTGAACACGGCACCTTGAGCTGAGCGGCCGCGAGCTGCCGATGGGGCAGCCGGATGGCGACTGGACTTGGAGCTGAGCTAGCTGCGCCCTCCACAACTAAGATTGAAGGACAGCTTGGCTGTGCCCCTTCCCCAATTCCCCAACACTGTTCCCCTTCCCCAATTCCCCAATAAAATCTTTAAAAAAGAAAAGAAAATTGCAGCAAACTGGTTCACAGAGATCGCATTGTTCACCCTTCCACCCAGCCTCCCTGAATGGTACCATCTTACAACACTCTACAGCGTTAACAAGCCATGACTTTGACATTGGCACAATACTGTTTAACTAAACCCAGACAGTACTTTCAATTCTCTAGATTTCACATGCACTGTTTTTTTTATATTATCATATGGAATTTTATCACATGGCTACTATTTATTAACTCTACTTTCCTTACCCCCTGAAAGACAATGATCCCACACCGTTTCATATTCAAGCAGAAGTGACGATGAAAACAAACTTTTTTGGTACTCGAGATGTCTGCACAGAGCTTCTGCCGCTCATGAAACCCCAAGGTGAGTGACGAGGAGCCCACGCTGTGGTGTTTCTGGAATGACCTGGCCCTGCCTGCCTCTGGCCTCATCTGCAGGCCCCCGCTACCTCTCCCTGCTCAGCTACTCTGGCCTCCTGGTTGTGTCTCCACTGGGCCAGGTGCCCTTCGCCCTCGGGACTCTGTACACACCTGTCCAGTGGTCATCGGTGCTCTCTGCCCTGCTGGTCTGTGCACAAGTGGCTGTTTCGTATCCTTCAGGTCTTTGTTCAGGAGTCTCCTCAGAGAGACCAGTAACTGCTTGTGCCCTTTCGGAGGACCCCATGCAGGGACTCTCCCTCTCCCGCTCCCTCTCGCTGAGTGTTCTGCTCGCGGAGCCCTCACTACCGCCAGTTCATTAGATCCCCTAAAATCTTTTCCTGCATCTGATCACGTGGATTTTTCTTTGTATTCTACTGATATAGTGTATTACATTAATTGGTTTTTAGATGCTAAACCAACCATACATATGGAATAAATAATCACTTGGTCTTTATAAATTCAAGAGGTCCCTAATACCACCCTCAGGTTCCATAATCACTAGAAGGACTCAGAACTCAGCAAAACTGTCATACTCAACATTACAGTGTATTATAGGAAATGGAGACTGATTCAAATCAATGGGAAAAGCCTCAGAGGACAGGGTCCAGGAAACATTGGGCACGGAGCCTCCACTTGTCCTGTGCTGCCAGCCAGGAAAGCTCACCCACGCCATGACATCTGGTATTTTTGTTGGGGGTTGTTCTCATAGACGTGACCTCTTGCCTGACCTTCCTCTGCAGCCCCTCTAGAGGTCCAGCTGATACCAAGTAGCCTCACCATAGTCACATTGTTAACACAGATTATGGAGCCTGAACCAAGACCCCCAAATAGACAAGGAGAGTATCATCAGACAGGACATTCAAGGCTTTAAAGCAGACCTGGGCAAAGGGCCAAACCTTTCTTTGGCCAAACTTAATTCTTTCACAGGCTACCCCCTGGACCTCTGCCAAGGCTTTCTTCCAGCAAAAGGACCATTGAGCACATACATTTTAGTACAGAATTTATATTAACAGATACAGCAGTAGGACCCAATCTACACCTAACATTTGGAGGAGGCATTGTGGGGTAAGGATAGATTTAAAGGAACAGATAACCCATCCTATAAAGCCACTGCATACAGTTGCATGTTTTGGTGCTAATTTGATCTTCCCGTTAATCAACTATTACTTATACTTTATTTAGCAAAGAACTGTTTATGCAGAACTATTTAGTATTCTTAAGATTTTAACTGAGGCATATCAAAATTTACAAGTTTATTGGAGAAAAACAATCTATTTGAATCAGGAATACCAAAGTGGAAGTGGTTAGGGACACTCCCCAGGCAGGTGCTTGGGAAGAGACTTATAGAGAAAAGGCGAAGCAAAGTAAGGAAATTATTGGTGGGCTTATACCTAAGGCTATTGATTCAGTCCCTGCTAGTAAAACCATGGGTACCTTTAGCAGTGGACAATTTTTTGCATGGATAATATATATTAGAGTGACATATTGATTGTTTTTTCATATTCCTGTTTTAATATTTCCTTGACCAAAACTTTTCCTTATCACTTAGAATATTTATTATATACGTATGGACAGAGTACCTTTAGACTTACATAGATGATTATCACGTCACTCCTGTGCATACATGTGGAGGAAAGAGAACAATTTCATTCCTAAAACTTGGCCGCATTCAGAGTCTGACTCTTAGGAATACCACTTTCAGCCTAGTTGTCCAGTTCGTGCACTTTTGTAACATTTAACAGTGAGTTACTAGAAAAAGGACTATGCTCTTAGATGTTACAGCAGTGCCAGTTGCTATTAAATTTTCTACCTGCTTACTCCCCGTGGCTGTCCTCAGCTTGTCTGCCAACAGAAATGTTTCACAGACTGGCCCGCTTTGAGTGGCTGGGTGAGAGAAATGGAAAGGCCGTGTGGTGTGGCTGGAGCGGGGAGAGAGGAAGGGATGGTGAGGACAGGAGGGGATTGTGTAGGCCTTTTAAGGACTTGCTTA